AGCACCCTATTTCCAGATTCTTCTTTGGCAAAAAAGATTTCTTGTGGTAGAACAAAATGTACAAGTATTTGCGAGAGTGTGCTTGCTCCTGCAGCTCAAGAAATACTTTTAAACGAGATTAAAGAAGCAGAGTTTTTTGAGTCGAAACAGATGTGTCGAATAAAGGCAATGTTAAAATGTTTCCAGTAGTCATGCAATATTTTCATAAGGAAAGTGGGATAAAACATGGACTGCTTGATTTTTACCGCGATGCCCAAGAAAAAAGTGGCGAGATTAAAAACCAGATTTTTTGAGTTCTCATAGAAAATAATTCAGATATAACGAATGTAACTTTGGTTGGTTGATTTTTTAATGGCACAAAACCTTGAGGGTTATTATGTGCCAGACAAATGGTGAAAAAAATTCAAGATGCAAAACACACTGTATCAAGTTAATTAATGAAATGGACCTGAGATGCAGATGAAAGCATGGAGAAATGACTTGAAATGTCCAGGCACTCTAGCAACAGAAAGATCAGGATAAAAGGGAAATAGCATCAAATCATATTGTAAAAAGGGATGTCTTTTAAAAAACTTATTGAGGTTGATGTAGGGGTTCCTTCCAATGAGATGAAGGCATGGAGAAATGACCGAGAAATGCTCTAGCAACAGGTAGAGCAGGATAAAATGTAGTTCAAATCATATGGTAAAAGGAGATGTCTTTTAAAATCTTATGAGGTTGATGTGAGGGTTTCTTCCAATGAGATCTGTTAAGATAAGATTCGTAGAATTAAAATAAAATTCATGCTTCTGACTAAAAGCAGGACAGCAGGTTATAATGTGACTGACTGAAACGAGAACATTGCAAGTGCCACAAATAGGCTCATTATCTGCTTTCAAGAGATACCGATGTGTCAGTCTACAATGACCAATTCATAGGCGAGTCAGTAGTACATCCTCCTTCCAATTCCCTCTCGACTCCCAGTACTCCAAATTGGGTTTTATCTGCCTTAATTTGTTCAGAGTTTGGCATTCCCAGAATTCTTGTCACCAGGAGAAGATCTTTGCTCTGATGTAATTCCGTATATCTGTAAAAGGCACATCATTTTCTGAGGTAATATCAGCAGATTTTGCTGCGATATCGGCGAGTTCATTGCCTTTGATGCCAGCATGTCCAGACACCCAGCAGTACGCAATATAATAACCTGCGTTTCTCAAATTTCTAGGACCAAAAGGTGGCTGGTATTTGTATTTATTGATTCAAGAGCACTCAGAGAGTCAGAGTAGATAATGAACTTTCTGCTATTTTGCCTAGAGATAAAGATTAAGGAATTCAAAATGGCAAAAGTTTCCGCAATAAAGAAAGATGCAGCTTTATGAAGTTTACTACTCCTTATTTCTTTATCAAAAACAAAAGCTGCCCAGACATTATCATGATTCTTTGAGCCATCAGTAAAAATTGCTTTGTAGTTAGAATAACTGCTTCTATGCTCTAGGAAAATTTGTTGATATTGGATATCATTGGTACTGCTCTTCTTTAGTTCTCCAAAAATGTTAAGGAGGTGAATGCTCACTTCTTGCCAGGGAGCAATACCGAAAAGGTCAAAGTTTTTGGGATGCAGATCATTTAGGTTGAATTCTTCAATCAGTAAGTTAATGCGAAGATCAAAATGCGCATGCGTGAACGTATTATGCGTTGACGCATGCGATGAAAGTTTGTAGCTTTGAGGTCCGGATTATGGGTGTCCAGATTAACGACTTTTGACTGTATATGGAAAAATATCCAAACAATCTTAGATTTTATTTAACAACACATAATTAAAATTAAAAAATATTAAAACTGTCTTTCATAAAAATTCAACGTGCAAGCAACAAAAATGAAGCAATATTTCAAAAAAGAGACTGTGTATGATATTCTTTGAAACATGGGTGTATGCAAAGTCCAACGTTGCATATGTCACAGGAATAGAATATCTGCTGCTATTTTACTCAGCAAATTTGACTCATTTAGCATTTGTGTCCGTTGTTCTACAGAAGTCTCTAATGATAGAACATCTACTCCACTATAACAGGATAAAAAAATAAAATAAAAACAAGAAAAAGTAATAAATTGAAAAGTATTCCGGACCATTGAGAACATGTTCATTTGTTTATATAAAATGACGCAGTAAGAGCCATTACATTACTCAACACTAACGAATTAGCATTTGTGTATAGTCTACATTCAGATACTGCTTTCGTTTGCCACTAAAGAAAAATACATTTCATTCCCTGACCATACAAAATATTCATCTCAATGCCGGAAAAATCTGAAAGTAATAATAAAAGAAAAAAAAAGAAAAATCTACGAGTAATAAAAAAATTCTCCAATGACAGAACATCTATCCCACTATATTGCAAAAATAAAAAGTACCTCAATGCAGCGAGAACAAGTGCATTTGTTTATATCAAATGACACAGTTAAAGAGACATTGCATTGCTCAACACTCACCCACGAATCCCACTCTCATTCCGAAACAAAATACCAAAAATAAAAAACATTGCGTAGGAATGAAGGTAAGCATACATAACTTTCGATATATTTCACCATGACAGACATACAGCTACATCTAGCGGCAATAAAAAATACTAATTAAATGTTCTATCTAAAAAGTCAAATGTGGTACGCCCGACCATAGAGTGAATTTAATGGCGGAAATTCAAATACTACACACCTGGCCGTGAAGTACTGTTTGCTGCTGCTGCATTATATGACATGCCTGTACTGAACGGGTTAATCTTACTGGAAGAGAGGGCCTCATCTCCTGTTTCCTCCTCCCCTAACGAAGTAAAGTTCTTTAAGTTCGTCCTTTATAAGTTCTCAATGCTCCTAACTCAACCAGATCAGCACCATCCACATACAGATCTATGCTTTTCCCCAGAGTTGCAATTTCTTTGATTAGCTGCACTGTATTATCCAGAGGTTGAGGATAAAAAGCTAAGTCAGGAATACTCAGAGGCCACAGATTTTCCATACTGAATTTACGATCCTCACTGAGACTTTTTCCCAAGCTTGAAATAACTTCCTGGTTCATAGGTTAAAGAATTGGAGTGGTGTTGGGAGGAAGAAACTTTACTTTTATGAACTGAAATTCCTCCAGCAAATTATCAAGCCCTGAAGGATGTGCAGGAGCATTATCAAGGACAAGCAAAGTCCTGAGTGGCAACTTAATTTTGTAAAGGTATTTCTTCACTGTGGGACCAAAAACTTCATTTACCCACTCGATAAATTGCCATATTACCCAGGCTTTGCTGTTGGTCCGCCACATCACATTCAGTTGGTTTTTCTGCATCTAACTTTTCTTCAAAGCTTTTGGATTTTCTAAACGGTACACAATCAACAGCTTGATTTTACAAGCTCCATTTAAGTTGAAGCAAAACACAAGAGGGTACACCTATCTTTCATTGGCTTGGGACGAGGCAAAGATTTCTTCTCTTGCGTGACATAGGTCCTCTCAGGCATTTTCTTCCAAAAAAGAACTGTCTCATCATAATTAAACACTTGCTGGAGAAGAAATCCCTCACTAGTAATAAATTGTAGAAACTCTGGTTGAAATTTATCAACACCAGCTGTATCAGAGCTTGCAGCATCGCAATGTTGCACAACACTGTAAACAATGGTTTTCTTTTTTAAATGTTTTAAACCATCTATGGTTTGTCTTAAATGCTATCTCATCTTCAGTCGAAGTACCTGGTGTTTCTCGGAGAAGGTCCATTTCTCGGATTCTTAGCCTTAGCACAAATGATAGTTTTCGACACAATAATCTTTTAACTGCTTCTCGTTATTCCACACTAACAAAAGCTTCTCAAGAACTTCTAGGAATTTTGCACGGTGCTTGGAAGTTAACTACTCCTTTGGCCACATTAAGTTTCTAATTTCTTCCTTTCTCTTCAAAATAGTGCAGATCGTCGAATGGCCATCAAGCCTTCGCTAATTCCTTCACTCTTACACCACACTTATGTTTATCTTTGATTTCTTTCTTACTTTTAACTGTCATGGCTTCCTTCTTTTTGTTTGCAACATTATCTGAGACAACAGTCTTCTTTGGAGGCATCGTAAAATAATTATTTTCACGCTAAATGTAAAAAACAATTAACTCACAAGCACGTAAATCAGAATTTTCCGCTCATACTTTCCTCGTATCTCAATGTTCCACTGTATAAATATTCTCAGACTGAAGTCCATAACAGTTTTTTTAAAAATGAAAATAATCAATGTGTATATGAACAAAGTCAAGGCAGTGTGTAGTGGCGAGTTTGTGTAATTCTCTGATTCTTTTTTAAGTCAAAATAGATTGATGTGTACATGGTCACTGAGTTTGTGAAAGTTTGAAAATTCTTTGACACCTTATTTTGGTTTTGTGTAGGAGCCTTCTTGAAATTGTGCCTTCCTGGCACTGATCTTGATATAAAAAAAGAATCGCCAAAAAACAGGGGCACCCAATTGTAACCTTTTACCCACACATATATATGCTCAAAATTTTGTAAGTATTGTAAACTTCCATTACAGAAGTTTATGTTTGCAACCATTTCTGACAAATATACTTTTGTAATTGAAATATATAATCCTGTTGATCAATGGTTCATAGATATTACAATAATTATCCAATAATTTTCTTTAAGAGAAATTCACAATAACATGTTAGGCTTTTATGGAAGAAACCAAATTTTAAAGAGTTTAAAACAAGGGAGAAAAAATAATAAAAAAATATGAACAACTTTTGTTTGGAAATTTTGAATAAAACTATCAGTTTCAAGAGTGATCATATACAGGTCTCTCTTCTGCAGCAGCAGTTAAAAAAAAAAAAAAAAAAAAACATGTTCTCAAAATCCAATGAGTTTTATTCAAAATCTATGCCAAACTAAAGTTGTTTTATTGCATAATTTAAAATCTGGCATTAGTTGTTTCTCTTCCATTTCATTAAGAAAAGATTTTTTAACTAAAAAGAAGCCTTTTTTAACAATTTTTTCTTTAAAGCATACTCATGTTCTGGAGGTCCTTGTGCTAATTCCTCAATGAAACCAGACTGGCAACGGGGACATGTATAATCCTAAAAAGATAAGAAAATATATATAAAAGTTAAATAAGCCTAACTGAAAAACAATATATTTAAAAAAGTCTAGATACTTTAAGAGAACCTAAAATTACAAACTACTATTCACGAAAAGTTGAATTTTTTAAGCCTTTTTTTATTTATCTTTAAAAAGCAACAAATTGGTTCAATAATCATTAATGAAAGATGATATAATATTTATTTATTTCTAACAGTGGAAAACAGCAATTAGATTTGTATACAAATACATGCCTGCATACAATGTGAACAGTTTACAGGTATGCTCCATTTTATCAAAGATCCAGAAATAATTTTGTTTTTTTTTGGAGCATGGGGAGTAACTAAATCCTAGACTAAACCTTTTTGGGAAATATAAATATTGCTGCTTCCACAAAGAAAAGTAAAAAATAAAGTAATGATAAGTTTTCTTTCAGGCGATTACGGAACATTGCAGTTTTTGCAAGATTTCTTCATTTCTGTAGAAACTGTAGAGTACAGGAAAGAAAATGAATCAGTCTCAGCACCAATTGTACAATCTTTCTTTTAAAACATTTACAACAACAGAATGAATACAGTAATTTTGACTTCCAATATTCGGTCAGGCAAACTTTGAAATTATAACGATCTCAAGAATACAAATCGTAGTAAAATAGTATTAGTTGATGAATGTCTACTCTCTCCTACCATGTTATCTTCTCTCTTTCCTCCTTCTCTCTTTTTATCTTTTATGTCTTTATATCAAATTTCTCATGGGTCAATGCACAATCACCTTTATAGTTCCAGTAAACTCAGTCTTTTTCCCATGTAGTAAATAGGATTGTAGATATATCTCCATTAGCATTACACACTGGGTTGTCTATAAATTACTTCCAGTTTCTTCATTATAATAACATTTGGCATTTCTCAAGCAATTTTATGATTTTACTTTCAAAGAACTGATATATTTCTGCTAAAACATTTTCAAAGTGATATTTAATACTGTTATCCGAAATACAGGTTTTTCCTGACAAGCCAAAACAAATTAATTGCATTGTGGTGTGGATACAACAATGCATCCCAGCTAAATTGCAGTAATTCATAATAAATGGCACACAACATGAAGCCCACAAACAGTACACTTCTGTTTTGGTGACTTAAAATTCGCCAAACTATTGTTCATGCCAAGCCTGCCAAAAATAATTACGGTAGCCCTAACATAAGAAAGAAGACATAATAATTAACAACTCAGATTATTATTTTAATCTAGATGAAATGTTAATTTCATATAACACATTTTATATTACTACAATTTATATAAAAAAAGGCTAAACATAACCGAATGGATGCCTAATAGTAAATAACTATTTCAGATTATTATTTTAATTTAAATGAAAGGTTAATTTAACATATAATTTTTTATTACTTTATGAAGAAAAATGCTAAGCATACCTGAAATTAAACAGTAGGCATAAAATTTTTTGTCTTTCAACATAGAGAAAATTTCTTTTTTTTTTTTTTTTTTTTTGCAAACGTTTGTACATAAACTCGGACAAATAATAATTGAAATGCTTTCGAGCAGTGCTCCGATTGCGTTATTACGCCATTTAGCACTGCACACTGCCACCCTACCGTTTGTGTACGACACCCACTTTTGAGCTATAATTTATTTTATGATGTTCAATAAGGTTTTTGCCAATCGATCTGAAACAGCAACTAAGAAACATTCATTTGATTCTCTGTATAATCTGCCAAAAACCCATAATAGTGGCAGAAGGACACGCCTAATATTATTCCTTCTTTTACTAAAGGCTTTCGTCAGCTTCAATAATTTTGCCACAAGGCTAAGCAATTAAAGCTATGGCACACAGGTCCCGCATGTAACTGTTAGAGTCTACGACTGTATTGTGGTTCATCTTCAGTTGGAGTTCATAAAGTTCAATACATGACACCAATTTTTGACGCCAAAAATAGATGAACCTATTGGCTGTAAGGAAGGGGATTTTTGATCCTTGAAACCAATTTTGACTTCTCTATACTTTCTTCTCATTACAGGTTTCTTTCCTGCACCACCATTTCACTACTGAATTACCGCTAAAGCATAATTTCATCTTGTGGCTTTTCAAACATAATTTTCTATCATGAATGATGACTTTTTTATTTTGAAAAAATTCTGTTCCAGACTTTTCATCATTGAGCAATTCCCAAATTGTTAAATCTATAACATTATCAAAAAAGAATAAAAAATTAAACTACTATTTTAATGGCGACTTACAAATACAGAACTAAACTTAGGAACTTTGAAATCAGTGCATTTGTAAAATATGGTGCAAGGTTAGTTGGGCGCGTTTGTAGATTTAGTGCTTTTGTGCATACATTTTCGCTTTAAATTTTTACACTCCCCAAATCAGAATTGTACCCCACAATCTTGAATCACCAGGATTACAAATCAATAACTTATTATCTAGTTAGATTCTATGCACAGATTAAAGAATTAAAAACACAAAATGGCTATTTGTAAGAGGATAAAACATTTACAATGGTCATCAAAATTAAAGGATAGTGAGAAAAATATGCTCACTCAGTTAATGTTACAACCAATGCCCAATGCAATAATTATTTATGTTAATTAAATACAGAAGAACACAAAATTGCACTTCCATGCATATTACCATCGAAAATATATAAATTCGGTGACTAACAATTGGATGTGCAATGGACGCATATTGGGATTCCAATTTGCAGTGTTGTTTAAAGTGAACGCGGTTTCTGAGAGTGATCAGTATTCAGTAGTTATAGCTCAAGAGCATCATTTAAATTAAGGTAAAAAATGATAAAATACAGGTAGAATCAAGAAATGTCAAATATGAAAAAAAAAAAAAAAAAAAAAAAAAAAAAAAGGTTGCCCTTCATTAGTGTCATATGCTTATGTTGCCTTAGGCAATATGTTACTATTGACCAAATACCTGTTAAGTGAAAGCTAAGCTACTACAGTCAAAAGTCGTTAATCCGGACTCGTCGGGACTTCAGCGATTCCGGATTATCGATTTTTCCAGTATAAATCTGGAATCATCAGTATAAATTTGGTAAGATGGCATGCAGAAATTATAAAATTAATTAAAAATATGAAACTGTAATTTATGAAATAAAGAACAATTATGATCTAAAGGATATGAAAATTTACAAAAAAAAAAAAAAAAAAAGCTTAATATTTATTTGTTTACTTTATTAAACATTTCTTTCAATGTAAGTTGTTTAAGTTGCTTCATTTTTTATGTGATAATACATTCTCTTTAATTCTATAAACAGACATAATTTCTTGTTCAGTTACAAAGTTCCACTGTTCGAGTCAATTGCTGTGTTGAGAATACCGACTAATTTGTCAATCAAAATTTTTTCATTTTCAATAACCTCCGTCACTTTCTTTGCTATTGGACGCGAATTATAATGACGAGGAATTTGATTTAAATCATATCAAAGACGGAGTACATAGAGATGAAATACTACATTTCAAAGTTTAGATAAACAAAGGATATGCCTTTATCCATTTTTTTTCAGAAATTCCACTTTTTGTTTAATGGACTTCGAAACATACTTTCGCTTTGTAGATCCTTTACATATTAGTAAATATATATCGGAAATTCTATTTGACATAATCGAAAGTTCAAGCTTACTTTTATAAAATTGCTCTAACATTCTGCAAAAAAAAAAAAAAAAAAAAAAAAAAAAAAAAAAAAAACAAATAAGCCGGAATCCAATTCGAAGATCAAGGAACAACGCAATCTGCAAATAATGCGACTGAAATAGAATTAGATAATTTTAGCTTAGCTTATACCGTCCGTTATACATTAAACGCACATTCGTAAACGTATTTTACGCACATGCATATTCGCAGCCGTAAAGGTCTTACGTGCATGCATCGCGCAGAAAGTTTGTAGCTTTGAAGTCCGGATTATAGATCATTCCGGATTATGGGTGTCCAAATTAACGACTTTTGACTGTATTTGATGTCTTTGAATTGAACAGCGCCCTCTAAAAATATAACCAACTTATTTGCTTCTCCACTGGCTTTTTAAAAGTTATTTACTTGAAACTCTTCATTAATACCAAGTATTGCATTTATAAGTTTAACAAGGAGGTATTTAAATGCTGTAGTTTCTTTGTACAAATTAAATCTCATTAAAACAGGTGGGGTCCTTTTAAAAATTTTATGCTTTAAGCCATATATTATATTCTTAAGTTAATATTAAAGCAGTTAAGTTGAAAATATTAAAGCAGTTAAGTTATTTAACTGCTTTAATATTTTCAAATCTTGCCTCTCATCTGTTTTTAGAGTCAAATGCACATGAATAGTCAAAAGTTTTTAGTATTTCATACAAATAGAAAACACAATTGTAGAGTCATTAGGTTATTTTGAAGCTGGAAGACATGAAAAATGTGCAATACCCTCGCTGGGACTCGCACGTTCACTTCTCAAATGCACGCCGAGTGTGCTAACTATTACACCCCGAAGGCATGCCGGAAAGATGGAGAAAATAAATTATAAAGTAAACAATCTTTACCCTATACCCAAACCATTTAGTGCAATGGTTGAAGATGCATACTAACAACGAAATGCGAACAGAACAAGGTATGTAATGAATTCTTAGTTTACTTTATAACTACTTATATATACTTCCCACTTTTATAATTTCTGGTGTTGTTTTCATGATGTAAGACTATCAACAGCAGTCTGAAAGGGATATTTCTATGTGAGTTAATTATATGGAGAAATAATTCAGTGATACACTTTTCAATATATATGGTATATCCAATTTAATGAAACTGAAAAAAATATTCTTAAATGGCAGATGATGTAGAAATGCACATCTATCTCTCTTAAAATCACACTCAGTTGTCCTTTCTTACTATCGGGTTGATGTGCAATCTAAAGATACTGAATAATATTTATTCCTATTTCCATTTCATTACAATATTTTTCATAATAGATTAAAAAAAAAATTAAATTTAAATTTCATTCCTTGCAGCAATGGCACAAAGAATATTTAATTAAATTTGTATTTAAATTAAATTTATTTAATTAAATTCAATTTATTCTTATGAAACAATTTTTCATAATAGAGATATTTTCATTAGGTATCACTGATATTAATTCATGTTGAAAATCCTTCTTACAGAATATAACTAGTCTTCCTGGTTTCGTTACTCGTTGAAAATGTTCGCTCAACAAACGTCGTGTTTGACCATTGATTTAACTGTTATTTTTGTGCATATGTCCGAATTTGAAGTTAGTTCTACTACTTTTCTCACTTGTTTCTACATTTACATTTTCATTGGAAAAATAGATTCTCCTAATAACTCGAGCTATATTTACAAGTTCTATGATGCCGTCCTCTCTGTTTTCTCTTTGTTCTTTAATAGAGAATTATTTTTGAAACTATATCATTATAGTTTTTTGCTTTCTTATGTTGTTTATTCATATTCCCTCTGTCACTTTTTGTTTTTTTTAAATTTTACTTGAAACTACAATTTTGTCAGGATGACAAGATGTCTTCAGCAAATCTATTGACTGATACATGGACATAATCTACATTCAACAATGACACTACGCAGACCAAAAACAACATATACTAGAAATTCACGAAAAATAAATATATCTTACATATCCATATTTTGCAATTTTAAGCTCTCCAAATATGCCGGAAACAAAAAATATATGTTTGGTCCTATCCGGAATCCAGTTTATATGCTTGGATGAAAATACATCTGTCCCCAAATGCACTTCGAGCACTAATAAATTTATGTAATTTGTCTACAAGAAATACTTCTATGTTTGCAGACAATATAACTTGAAAACATTAGATATTCAAGAAGCCATATTATATGCATAAGAATATAATTCAATCGCTTCTAGTAAACAGCATTATAGAAATTATGCAATGAAATATAAATAACGAGGAAAAAGCAACTGAACATATTCAAAGCTTATGAATAAAATTTGATTTCGAAATTTTTATTTAATAATGTAACAAAGAACACGTTAATCATTCTGCAACCAATAACAAGGGATTTTGTTTTCGGCATACTTGGAGAGCTTAAAATTGCAATAAACCTCAAACCTTCTCACAATCTTACAAAGCTTTGAGCTTTGAGCTTTGTATGATTGAGCTTTTACAAAGTTTGTAGCTTTGAGGTCCGGATTATAGATCATTTCGGATTATGGGTGTCTGAATTAACGACTTTTGACTGTACTTGATTACTGAACATTTTTATAATCACTGAAATTAACCAATACTTTTCAGAAAATGGATATAGTTTATGGAGTGCTGTATGTATTGCATTTATATCAGAAATCTATATCAGAAAGATATCTATCTATATCAGAAGTGAAGCATCCACTGAAACATGAAAGGGGGGACAAAAAAAAAGTTACAGCTTCCTAAAGAGATAAAGTCATGATACTAAAGATATCTGCTTTGTTATCAACCACTTATAACCCTCAACACTGCAGAAATAAATCAGATGGATATGGAAGGCAATAAAATAGTGCAATTAAAAGTTGTAATTGATTATAGGATACAATACGTAAGTGTAAAGTCAAAAACTAATTGAGTTTGTTCAACAACTAAATGACTATCTTTTGATAAGACTTAAAAAGAAATACTATCTCTTCCCTATACACACACTTGCTTAATATTTCAGTTTTATTTTATGCCCACTTTGGAGACAGAAAACCACTTTGGAGTAATGATCACATACACATACACACAAATGTTGAACACAACAATGAACAGGATCTCTTAAGACTTACATGGAAGAAAGAAAGCTGCATAGTGTGCTGTACCAAATACAATAATCAAGGGAAAAAAAATGTAAGAAGACACATTATTACTGTGAGCAATGTAATATTGGATTGTGTATGTTTTATGTTGTAACACATTTAATGTTGTATCATTCAAATCATTGAATTTTCTTCTCAACAAAATATACCTTAAATACTTGTTTTCAAATCAAATATACAAATAAATTGTTTTTCATTAAAAAGTGACTATTTTGGACCCTTTCTTTGAGGGCAGAAATGGGAGCATTTCTTGTCATTTTCTTTGGTGCTTGTGACAGAGATGCCAAACACTGGGTTTCTTACATGTAAACAATTTCTAGTAATAAAAGTAGAATGTTAGTCTAGTTATAAATTTACAGAAGGCAGCACATTTATCTCTAGTTACTGTTGTTGGGTCTCGGCATGTGTTTAGAAGCATTAAAAATTAATAGTATCTGAATCCTAACACGACATCTGAAGCTGTTTCATGAATCTGCAGCTGAAATATTGATTGTCCCCCATTTAAATACTTTAAGATTAAACTGTCAAACAAATATTATAGATAAAATATACGACCTTTATCACGCAGAATTAAATTATTTTATTACTCATGAAAAATTCCTATATTGTGTTACTGAATTATGGGTAAAATAATGAAGATAAAAGATTATCATACACATTTTTCAGTGATAACTAACAATATCTTCAACACTGAATACTTTTATAAATGATTTTATTATTGATATTTTACAAACTTAACGTCTACAGCAAATACAGGCCTGTGTTTTTTAAAGGAAAGAAAAATATTGTCCAAGACAAATATCTTCTGACAATTTCCTATAGTCATACCAAATTTAACGTACTCTAGTCAAATATAAATTAGGCAGGAAAAATACTGATATGGTTTCCTAGAAAGAATTCGCTATAAACTATCATTAATGAAGCAATTTATAATAATTAAAATTTTGTAATTGATGGAAAATTTTTCTACTGATGATTTTTAACAATACATTTACAAATAAATGATGCAAAATAAATAAATCAATTAAATGGAAGCATGCAGTTTTAAAATAAAGGAGTTTTAAACGTTAAAAACCTATACATCTACGCGATAAAACTGCCCCAAAACATTGATCGATGTCATAATTTCTAGAAACATCGAACAGGACTACTGTTCCTATCATTCAACATTATTTTACTGAGAAACAGTACCATAATAAACACTCTCACTATTGAAATTTCTACTCTAAACGCAATCACGTAAAAATGCGCAGTTTGTATTAATAACTATATTCTAAATGAATACAACCGTTGCTAAGGTTAACGTTGCTTAAGCCTAATATTGAAAAAACAATGCCGTAAAACACATATTTTTAAAAGTACACACACAGTGATAAATTGATTGCCCTTAAGTTGCTAAAATCTTTAACTTACAGGTAAAACTGGATTTATTTCTTGAGTGCATCTGTGACAGAAAAATCTAGCAGCCGGACTTTCTACCGCTGCTTCTGCCATATTTCCCTGCTGACCGACGTCACTATTCTCCATAACCACTCACAAGCATTTGCTTCTTTAAAGGATGTCCCGTTCGATGAAATTTTAAATGAACACGTGCCTTGTAGAGACAAATTTTGGATATTTGTTATGTCAAGTCAAAAATTTTGTGTATAATGAGTAATAGACGTCATCAGTTTTGAAATTGACATCACATTGTTAAAATTCCATACGTGGCGTAACAAAATTTGTAAATTCATCTTTCTTTAAAATAAGAGATAAAAGATTTATGCAAGGGAATCAAATAATGAGTCTATTAAAATATCTTTTTCACATCTAAATCTTTAGATTCTTTCTAGGAAATCATATTTCTCATTCAGCATGATAAATTTTCATTCTTTTTTCAATAAGCAATCTTTTTTCAGTTGATAAGGTCCACGATTAAAATTTTATTTAATCATGACCGTTCTGGGATTTTTTTTTTTTTTTTTCCCCCGTGCGGAATTGTTGACATGGTTGTAATTCGGGGAACTCGCGATCTGTAAAGAATAATGATGGGTACGTGATATGTGTTTTGAAAAATACTTTGCAGAGACTTTATGTATAAAATCTACATTCAAACTAAAGTTTTATGCTTTTTATATATTTCCTATAGAGCAATAAAGCTATATTTTTTAATATTATTTATTTTTTAAACATATAAATTGTGATTGCATAGAGAATGTTCATTATATTTTGACGTCATTTATCATATGTTTGTCGAAATAATACATAATCAATATAAAAATTAAGGAAGCACTTCCGGAGAGAATCCGGTGAATGTAAACATTGCCAAATTTGGCGATAATAGTTAAAATCTGGTAACCCAGCGGATTCAACCTATTCGCTTGTCGGTGCAACCATTCATCTTTCGCGTCCATTTTGTTTCGAATTATCACTGTGGTTCTTCGCATTTGCAGATTTCTATTATTCTTCTTTTATTTATTACTTTTTTTCCTTAATTTTTTAACAATGAATAGATTGATAGATAGAAATATTTTCGTATAATTAAAAAGAAGTTTTCCAATAGATGCCGGTTCTCGGTCGTCGTTTGGATGAAAGGAAGAAAATAAAGCGGGAGGGGTGAATGCTAATTTGTAACACGGCTGTTCACATTGTGTTCTTAATTATTAACAGCTGTATGCACGCAGAACCATGAGGTTTCGAAACGCTCAAATAATTCGTTTTCGTACTCCGCAAAAAATGTGCGTTTTAAATAATTAAGTAATGCTTTTATTTTATTATTGTTTATTCTCACCTAAAACTATGATAATAAATCAATTTTTTATGGCGTAAAATTGTAACAATATATTGTTAATGCTTTTCTTACAATAACCTTTCAGAGGATGGCAGGTGTGACATAAATAGATTATTAAATTTTAATAATAAATACTATTTATTACTGATTATCTGTGACAGAATAGTTTGATGTATTCCCATGGTCATCAAAATTAGCAAACCACTGCTGGTGTAAGGAATATAGTTCAAATGACTCTTGAAAAGTAATGAAATGTGTAATGTTCAAGTTTTATTAACAATGCTACTGAAGAAAATTTGATTACTGTTGAAGGTTATTAGTATTGTGAAATAAATTATGAAAAGGATGGGTATTTGTTTCAATGTAAATTGCTTTAACCTGCATGCAAGTAACATAAAAAAAAAAAAAAAATACTGAAAACTGTTAATCAGAGTTCATACACATTTCTGCACACAGAAATTAAGGACCATTAATGAAAAAAAATTCAGGACCTATGAGTAAACGCGAACTGAATAAATTCAATTAAAAATATTAGCGATGCCTGCATTTCACATTTGTAATACCATCCTAAAAATAAAATAGATCCATAAGTAGTATGTATTATTACTAAACATGAATTAACATAATTATTAATAAGTTTGAAAATGAAATAAACTTTAAGTAATTGATCAAGTAGCATTAAATATTTTACACTTATAATAATTGGGCATATTTGAAAGAAGTGACATTTACATTTTACTAACTTTATGTAACTTTTTTTTGTCTCATAATGTCACATACTTGGTCAGGCTAGCGGTTTAGTAAGTAGCAGGTTGATTTTATGTCAAATGGCATAGGTTAAAATGAGAAGTATCATAATCAGCAAAATTCATAACAAAAGTTAATAATTTAATAATTAATTTCTGTTTAAATTTAATACCAATTTATTTCCGTATATCACGTTTAACCTGTTAGTTTTACATCTACATGCTTATTATCTGTGAATTTTTACTACCATATGCTTAATATATTGTTTAGTCTGCTAACTAGAATTTACATGCACTAAAAATCACGTTTACGGCTCGCCTCAAGCGTCGATGAAACGCGAGCTTGGCGAGTAAAAATGGAACGGCGCCAACGGGTTCTCTGCGGATGAAAACCCAAAATTAATGTTAAAATTACGAATTAAATAGTTCTACGTATTATTTATAAAATTTATATGGTATTAATGATATTCTTTCCCGGTAGCTCTCCAGTGTCATATTTAAAGGGGTTTAATGTATTTTATAATTTTATTTTTAGACTCTTTTCAAATGCCCCTCAGCCATTCGGCTGGGACTGCAAATTCATCAACAGATCCAGAAATGGAAAATAAAGTAAAAAAAGGTAATTTATGTTACGTTTCTGAATATGTTTCTTTAATATGCCTCTTTTAATGAAATTGATTTATTCTGCCAAAATATTCTTCATATACAGATAATGAATTTCACTGAATATATTATAATGATGTTTTCATTTTATACACTTGAATGTAAATGGAAATTTAATGGTAAAATCCTAGTGTACGGTGCAGCCTTGGCGCGATTTTGAAAATTATTGCTAACACCAAAATGATGGTTTAACTACTCATCATATATGTCCCATTTACTGCTCATCATAAAGTCGCCAAAAGTAGCCAAATCCCTTGTGCACCGGATAATTTAAGTACTTATTTTTGCATTTTTAATGTATCTTATGTAAAGGATAGGTAAAAGTATATTTTAGGGTACCCCTTGGCAATTTTTTGCAGTACTTGGTTACCGAGTTTGTGCAATTCTTTGACTTAAGCCAAAATAACAAGATAGAATTGCACAAACTTGGTATCCATGTACACATTGACCTATTTTCACTTAAAAAAAATCCTCGAATTGCACAAAAATGACATTGTGCACTCCCTTGACTTTATCGATGTACACGTCGACCTATTTTCACTTAAAAAAAATAGAAGAATTGCACAAATTTGCATTGCGCACTCCCGTAACTTTGTCCATGTATAGATCGATATATTTTCACTTAAAAAGTCAAAGGAGCACCCAGTTCTACAATACAGGCAAACAAAAATTACATAATCTTAATAAACTACATTTTTAATCAAACAATAAAATAACATAAAAAAGGAAAAACATATTATGCATTTAAGCTGAATTTTTCGGTTGATCTTTACATTATGGTAACTTGGCGATTTTTTGGCGAAAATTTGGCGACCAACTCTCCTACAGCAACCCTCTATTTTTTTTTTCCCGCTGCCATTTTGTCTTCACGGAGTAAAGACATGTTTCTTTTCTTTTTATCTACTGAACACTTCTTCCAACAATCTACTAGCCAAATTATACTTATGCTAGAAATTTTATCTAACAAAACTGCTTAATCATGACAAATATTCACTGCAAAATTGGGAAAAAGTGCACAATACCATACTCCTTACGCGTTTTTCAAAATAACACATACACATAAACCATATACACGTCGACTTATTTTTACTTAAAAAAAATCCCAGAATTGCACAAAAATGGCATTGTGCACACTGTTCACTATATCCATGTACACTGCTTTTTTCTCATAAATTAGAAAAATTTCACGAAAATACATGACAATTTTTTGAATCTTTAAACCCGGTAAAAAGAACATATATGAAATTACCTGAACGCGAAAAACTATATACCCTTTCCAAATATGAACATTTCCACGTATAAAATAAATAAAATATCCAAAAACTTTTACCTCTCGATTATCTATTATATTATAAACGTCACCAACGAATTCATACCGCAAACTTTACAAATACTTAGTGTCAAATATTTAAATTATTTCCATGCACGTTTACTTCAACTAAAACGTATACCAAATTCCTACAAACATAAAATTCACAAAATAACTACCATTTAATTAAAATATCACTAAACCATGTACACATCGACTTATTTTTACTTAAAAAAACATCCCAGAATTGCGGAAAAATGGCATTGCGCACACTCTTCACTATATCCATGTACACTGCTTTTTTCTCATAAATTAGAAAAATTTCACGAAAATGCATAACAATTTTCTGAATCTTTAAACCCGGTAAAAAGAACATATACGAAATTACCTGATCACGAAAAAGTATGTACCCTTTTCAAATATGAACATTTCCCCGTATAAAAATAAATAAAATATCCAAAAACTTTACCTCTACAATTATCTATTATATTACAAACGTCACTAACTAATTCATACCGCAAACATTACAAATGGTTACAAATACTTAGTGTCAAATATTTAAATTATTTCCATGCACGTTTACGCAAATTACTTTACTTCCACCTTACATTTAGAACAATGCATAAAAATAATATCCTCAAATAATTAAAAATACTAACTTACCTAATCTTCTTCAGAATCTTGATTACATGTCCGATAAACTTTTCTTATTTCTGTTTCAGGATCTTTAAAATCATACTTATAGTTCACAGCAAGGTACCAGGTAAAATAAATAACTTGATAAAACATCTTTACTTCTATCTCGCACAACCTTAAAGAAACACTTATTACTACCCCTTTCAATCACACTAAATACCCATTTCGAATTCACTTTAGTTAGGGCCATGGGATCCAAAAATTAACGAACACTGTTTCACACAACACAGAATAAAGCCAAATACAAAATTTTCAGATTTTTTCCCGATTTTCCCCCTTTTCTGATTAAAAGAACCGTAATTCGTCCATTAATATCACATGACATATTCCATGATCTCTCATTTCCCTCACACAAAATAATGCGTAATTGGAACTGAGTACTGCTCACATTATTACCAAAGTCCCAAGTAGTAACCTTTATCGCCTCCAAAATGTCGCCAAACTACCAGTTTCCATATTCTAAAGATCAGCCAATCTTTCTTCCTACAAACCCATTCAAATCCATCTAAACGGTATTTACGTTCGACTAGACGCATATCCTACATACAGGACACTTATAATAGCTACTAAGTAAACCTTCATTTACATATCAATCAATCAGCGCTCTTTTTCCCCTTTCGTTCCAAATCATACAGAAACTTCAAATTAATCTTACTACATTGAGCCATTCTACTGTCTAAACAATAAAAACCACCCAAAAACGCTTACAAAGCATCCCATGATTCAAAATTTCCCAGAGAATCATGCACCCTATTATGTCACAATAGGGTTTCTATAATATTCAACTACTGAAGCTACCATAAATGAAACAACAACGTGGCAATAAATGAAACGACAAGTTCACCCTAATACAAGAGTTACCTTAAAGTCTACTCAAACCAAATGATATTGTTTTCCTTGTCCTATATATTGTAATAATACAAGTATTTTTATATAATAGCATTTTATAATTTGTAATGAAATATTTATGTATAGAAGCAGAGGATATAACACTCATATTATATATAAATGCATATCAAAGATTTATGGCTAGAATGTGAATTATATATGCAGTAAAAACATTGAAATAGGTTAAGTTAGCATAAAATTTGAATTTTGAGAAATATTTGAAGAGGAAAACTGACAGTGGATGGTATATGGCAGGAGTAGCCAAGCTCTTTGATAGTCCTAGCCATTTTTCAAAATTTGAACTTTTTGGTGAGCCGCAACTAAATACGTATTTCAAAGGTATGCAAAAAAGGTATTAATTTTTTTAACAAAAATTAAATTTATCAAAAACATATACAGTCAAAAGTCGTTAATCCGGACTCGTCGGGACATCGGCTATTCCGGATTATTGATTTTTCTGGATCATAGATCATCAGTTTAAATCTCGTAAGATGGCATGTAGAAATTCTAAAATTAAAAATATGAAACCGTAATTTATGAAATAAAGGACAATTATGATCTAAAGGGTATCAAAATTTACAAAAAAAAAAAAAAAAAAAAAAAAAAAAAAAGCTTAATATTTATTTATTTACTTTATTAAACATTTCTTTCAATGTAAGTTGTTTAAGTTGCTTCATTTTATGTGATAATACTTTCTCTTTAATTCTATAAACAGACATAATTTCTTGTTCAGTTACAAAGTTCCGCTGTTCAAGTTCCGTTAATTGCTGTGCCGAGAATACCGACTAACTTGTCAATCAAAATTTTTTCGTTTTCACTAACCTCTCTGCCACATTCTTCATGTCTTTATCCATTTTTTGCAGCAATTCCACTTTTTGTTTGACGGACATCGAAACATACTTTCGTTTTGTAGATCCTTTGGGAGCTCCAGAATCGGTTTACTTTTATAGTATTGCTCTTACAGGCTGCAAAAAATAATAAGCCGGATCCAATTCGATAATTAAGGAACAACGCAATTATCAACATTAACTGAAATAGATAATTGGATAATTTTAGCTTATACCGTCCGTTATACATAAAACGCGCGCGCGAAAACGTATTCTGCACTTGCGCACACGCATATGCGCAGTCATAAAAAATCTTACGCGCACAAGTAAACGCCTATGCGCATGTGTCAATGCACGCGCATGCGCAGAAAGTTTTTAGCTTTGAGGTCCGGATTATAGATCATTCCGGGTTATGGGTGTCTGAATTAACGACTTTTGACTGTAAATAAAAGTACAAAATATGTGTATTTAATTTAAATATTAAAAATTAAACACATTTATTTTACTTCTCTTGATAATTCTTTAAAATTTGGTGAATAATTGGTGACAGCACTTCTCAGTAATTCTTTGAGATGCTGGTTAGTTAATACTGATCAGTGTTTGGATTTCATGAACTTTAAAGTGGAATAAAAGGATTCACACAAGTACATTGTTCCGAATATAGAAATAATTCGACAAGAAGCCTTTTTTAATTCAAGATACTTTGATTCTAGTACAAATTTCCAAAATTCAGTAATTGGCGTTGACTTATATTTTAATTATACAGCATGATCTTCTTGCATCTCTATTAATTCTAATTCTTCAGATGCTTTTTTGGATCATAATTATATTGAAAATGGAAAAATCACCTAGAATTATGTTAATTTCAAATGGATTCAGATAAAAACATCAAGGAACGATTTAAAATATTTCGAGTCTTGAAATCTATTTTAGAATTCCGTCGATATTCCTTCTAGCTTTTTTATATATACTCCTTGAGTTTTTCTTGTTTAATATTGGAAAAAAATTGGTTAATCTTCGGATTATGGTAACTTGGCAATCAACCCTGCTACAGCAACCTGCTAGTTTTTTTTTTTGTTTGTTTGTTTTATGTTTTGTTTTGACGCCATTTTGTTTTCACGAAGTAAAGGCATTTTTTTTTTTTTTACTCAACATTTTTTTCCATCAATCTGCTAGCTGAATTACGTTTATGCTAGAACTTTTATGGAACAAAAGTGCTTAATCAGGACGAAGATA